CTTGATTCTGCATCCAAGAACATCTTACTCACATAGAAGATGAGTTTCAGCTTTCCACAATCATTCCTTATCAATGCTCTACTTACTGCGTGCTCTGATACAACCAGATAAAGGTAAAGAACTTCTTTGGGTGTCAGGGTCGATAGAATCGGCAAAGATGCTAAGTATGCCTTTAAATTTGTAAACGCTTCCTCACATTTCTGACTCCAGATTGCTCCATTCTTTCCTTTGATTGACTGAAAAAAGGGTCTGCACTTATCTGATGTGCGGGATATGAATCTTCCAAGTGCTGTTGCCATTCTTGTTAGCCTCTGCACCTTTTTTACAGTCCGAGGGGATTGCAGTTCGGCAATGGCCTTTACTTGCTCGGGATTCACCTCTATTCCTCGGTGAGTAACCAGAAATCTAAAAATTTCCTCGAGCCTACCCCAAATACGCATTTTGAAGTGTTTAATTTCATGTTGTACGTTCGTAGAACATCAAATGTGCTTTTGAGGTCAGCACAGTGATTTGTTGCCTTCCGACTCTTCACCACCATGCCATCAATGTAAACTTCTATTGTACTACCTATCATATGTGAAAATATTTTATTCACTAACCTCTGCACCTCTATTATAGTCCGAGGGGATTGCAGTTCGGCAATGACCTTTACTTGCTCGGGATTCACCTCTATTCCTCGGTGAGTAACCAGAAATCTAAAAATTTCCTCGAGCCTACCCCAAATGTTCATTTTGAAGCATTTAATTTCATGTTGTACATTCGCAGAACATCAAATGTGCTTTTGAGGTCGGCACAGTGATTTGTTGCTTTCCGACTTTTCACCACCATGTCATCAATGTAAACTTCTATTGTACTACCTATCATATGTGAAAATATTTTATTCACTAACCTCTGATATGTTGTCCAACATTCTTCAATCCGAATGACATTACTTTGTAGTAGTACGTTCCATTCAGTGTTATGAAGGCAGCCTTTTCTTGATCTTCCTCTGTTAGGGGGATATGATGGTATCCCCTGTAGGCATCCAGGAAACTCATCTGCTCGTGTCCAGCAGTGGTATCTATCAACTGATCTATCTTCGACAAGGGGAAGCTATCATTCGGACATTCTTTGTTCAGGTCGGTGAATTCAACTCAGACCCTCCACTTCTCATTTTTCTTCTTTACCACAACAATGTTTGACAGCTAGGTCGGGTATTGTACTTCCTTGATTGTTCGGGATTCCAATAAAAGTACCACTTTTCCTTCACTGCCTCCTGATGTTGAGGCGCCAACCTTCTTAGTTTTTGTCTGATTGGCTTAAAACTAGGGTCGACGTTCAACTGATGACATGCTACTTCAGATGGTACGCTGGGCATATCAACAGTGGTCCATGCGAAAACGTCAGCATACTCTCATAAAAGAGTGATGAACTCGGTTTTTTGCTTGGGACTCAGATCAGTCCCTAACAAAAAGTATTTTTTGGGATCCCCATCATTGTCTAAAGGTACTTTAGTCAAGTCCTTAATTGTTCAGTCTGTTACTTCCTTTTTGGCGCCTAAAGGTACTTCAAGGCCTTCCTCGACAGCTTGACCGGTTGGTTTAACCAAGCTATAAAAGGTTAATTGCTATTTCGCCTCCTCGGACATTGAGTTTTTCTCACGAGCTTCAACTCCTCCTTTGGGATTGATCGAGGCTAACAAACAAGTTTTTGGCATTGACTTGGTTTCTTCGGATATTGACTACTCCTTTAGCTAAAGGGAATCTCAACATCTGGTGGTACGTTAAGGGTACCGCCTTCATTGTATGTAGCCAGGACCACCCCATTATCGCGTTATACGCCAAGACCGTATCCACTACTATGAACTCGGTCATGATGCAAACTGGTCCTGTCTTTACAAGCAATGTGATCTTCCCCTTAAGAAGAATTATTTTTCCACTAAAGCCGATAAGTGGAGTATTTGAAGGCTTAAGATTCTCCTTCTTAAGTCCAAGTTTCTCAAATAGATCCGAATACATGATCTCTGACACACTCCCCGGATCAATCAGTACCTGTTTTACATCAAAATTTGCAATCTGAAGCAAAACGACTAGGGCGTCATTATGCAGTTGGTGCACTCCGACCAAGTCTTGCTTGGTGAAACAGATTGCTTTGGCTGACTCCTCTATCTTGATTCTTTTGTTGGTCACCTTTGGGGTCAACCGCAACTCATACACCTCTCTCATTGGCATCTTTTTAGATATAAGCCTGAACATAATTATTCGTGGACATTTACGGGTTGGTGGCTACATGGATCACATCAATCACTCCTGCCGGAGTGTTATGGTCCCCATTTGGCTCGGTCCTCCCTCCATTGAATTTTTGTTTATCTTGTATGAACTTGACGAGATGTCCAGCTTAGACCAGCTCCTCCAAATGTTGTTTCAGAGATCGGCAATTTTTGGTCATGTGGCCCACATCCCTGTGATATTAACACCTGAAGTTTGGATTCCTTTTAGAAGGATCTCCTATTAACTTGTTCAGCCATTTGAAAAATGACTTTGTCTTGATCTGACTTAGTATCTTGTATATTGGTTCCTTGAACAATATATTTACCCCCAGAAACGGGGACTTTTGAGGATATCCATCCTTCTCATTCTTTCTTCCTCCCTCTCTATTTTGGCTCAGTCTGCTTGTCTCTGCCGAATTGTCTCTTGTTTGGATGTTCTTTAACCTCGTCCCTGGATAAGTCGTCATTGACTTTGACATATTTTTCAATCCTAGACATCAACTCTTCCAGATCCGTGGCCGGCCTTCTTGTGAGTGACTGATAAAGGGGGTTCTCCTTCGGCAACCTGATCTTGAAGGATACAACTGCAATCTATGGATTGCACCCTTCAACCTCGTTCATAGTTTCCCAATAACGATGAACGTACTCTCGCAGACTTTCGTTATTCTTCTACTTTGGCGTCAACAGTGCTCCAACATCCTTCGGTTGCTTGTTACTCGTTATGAACTGAGCCGTGAACTTTTGGCTAACTGAGACCACCCATCGATCATTCCTTTCGGTAGATTGTCAAACCATTTCATGACTGACTCCCCAAGACTGCTAGGAAAGATAGTATAGAGCAAGGGCTCATTTTTTCGATGAATGGTCATTAGCTGCCTGAAATGTTTGATGTGCGAGGCTAGGTCGGTCTTTCCATCATATAGTTTGAAGTTCGGGACAGTGAATTTGCTCAGAATCCATCCCCTTTCGATCCAAACTGTAAATGGAGATGACTCCGAACCGTCTCCATATTCTCCTGTCGCTCTTCTGGCTAAGTCCCTAGCCAACCTCTGTTCTGGTCTCCTCAAGCGGTTGTTGAGTTCCTCGGTAATGTATTTGCTTCTATGCAACCTCTTCCTGAACCCGAGGTTTCTTCTGCTGGTGACGATCTTCATTGTTGCTTCTGATTCTATCAGGCTTCCTTTCAAGACTTTCCCAATGGTTTTCCCTCGTACATTTTTCTTTCCTGGTCATCTCTTTTATCCTGATTTTTAGTTCTTCATTTTCCTTGATTAGATCCTTCTCTCTGGCATAAGATTTCTTGAAAAACTTGTCATGAGTGTCAACTCTGTCCTGTAGGGACTGAACCAACTTCACCAGGGAGTGATTTTCCCCATCAGCACGGAGGGATTCACCACGATCTTTAATTTGATGGTTCTGATTCTTCGAGGGCCTGAAACTGGTAGAAGGCATCTCTTCACCTTCATGGGATCTAGATAAGCTTCCTCTTGCCTGCAACCGCATATTGCTACCAGGAGGGATGGATGCAGGATCAGAGTCTCTCAAGGCGAAATTGCCTCCAGGTGAACCAATTACGCTTCTAAGTCTAGACATTATGGCTTTTTGTTGCGAAAGATGGAAAAATTTTTCACAGACGGCGCCAAATGTAAGAGGCAAAAAATCGAGATTACCCCTTACTGGAAATTGAAATGTTAATGTATATCTGAACTTGATCTCCAAGTCTTCCTCTTTCTGTAAAATAAACAAACTGTCCAAGATCGAAGTGCTTCGATCGAAGGCACTCTGATGCTTAAGTCAGTAATGATAATGAAACGAATGAAAGAAGATTAAGAGAGTTCAGCGTACCTTTCACCTTGGATTCCTCCATTTTTTATAGATAGTGATTCCCTTAGGGTTTTCGTGATTTTTGATTCAATGTGGCAAACCTTCCTTCAATTTAGTAAATTCGGTTTGGAAAGTTGCTGATATTTCTCCATTATTTTCTCCTGATATCTTCAATTTTTATGATTCGTTTATCTGATTGCCTAAATTATTGACGAATCTTTATCTTACTGTTTATCATTTAAAACGACTCGGACATATCGAATGCCGAACACACTTGATATTTGCCGAACACTTTAAGGGACTTGGTTTGACATAAACCAATCCCTTCAATTGCCTTGCCGAACACTGTAACGGACTCGGCTTGGTACAAGCCGAGCTCTCTCGTTGCTTAGCTAAACAGACTGATGCGTTCGGTCATAAAGAGAATCGAACTTTTTTTGCCATTGTCGAACCTCTAATTAGCTCGACTTGGTTAAAAAGCTTAATAAATTATTCTTCATCACGTGCCTTATCTTGTCAATATCGTGTGAGCACATTTAATACCATGTCACGTGTAATCATGAGGTTTAACCTCTTCAGTGTCAATTTTAGAATCGTGTTGTGTCTGATTCGTGTTGACGGATCAAAGTTGACACCTCTAATTTTTAGAATATAATTTATCAAAAACAAAGATATTAAAGAACTAAAAAAACAAATATAGAAAATCAAAACATAATTAACCGATGCTTAATAAGCCTATCTTTATTATATTGGTTAAATAACTTTTATTGTTGTGAAAAAAAAAATAGATTATATATTTTTTGTTCTATTTTTATTTTTTATTTTTTGGTGGGTTTGGGCTTTAGAGTAATGTTCAATCAAGGAGTTTCACAAAGAGCCTGCTCTAGTCTTCTTCAACGCCAAGGTCATAATAGTTCGCTATGGTGAGAGAACTATTCTCTCTCTCTCTGTCTCTCTCTCTCTCATCAAAATCAACAAGTGTTTCTTGCAATGCAGGATTACCTCAAAACAGTGGTTCCCTCTCATCTCCTTGCCGAACGAGGCTCCAATCTTGTCGTCATCAACCCAGGTTCCACCCGTACCCTAACTCTTTCTCTCTCACACACACAGCATATATGTGGAACTGTGTATATGCATTATTATTCGTACATATTATGGGTGCCTTAGGTTCTGCAAATATTAGAATTGGACTAGCTCAGCAAGACAATCCATTGAACATCCCTCATTGCATTGCTCGACGCACTACCCAAGTGCCAAAGAGAAATGTGCAAGACCAGGTAATCTTTTGAGATTCCCTTAATTTGAATTGAAAGGTTCTTTCTTCTTTTCATTTATAGTCAATTAATATGTTTTTTTGATGGAAATTTGATATGGGTTCTTGCAGATGCTTAATTCTCAGGTTACCACTGCTCAACACATGGAGCGTGAGAAGGCCTATGATATTGTAAGTGAATGTGAGGTTTTGCTAGTGGAGTTAAAGATTTTATTGTCTTGATTCTTGGTAATTTGTGCTTACATATTTTTTTATTAGATTGCATCGTTGTTGAAGATTCCATTCCTAGATGAGGAGGTTGCAAACAACTCTTTTCCGCGTAAGGTACAGAAAGTGTTTGATGAAGTTGATATTTTTTGTGGAATTTTGAGTGTATTCTCTTCAATTTATATTGTGTCGTGTTCTGTTTCCTGAAGAATCCAATGTTTAGAGATGCAAGGCCTTTCTTCATTGCTAAGCAGTACCTAACACAAATACTAGGGTTGCAGAGTTTTAGTGTAATGGAAAGCTTAGATTTTGGTGGGTATTAAAAGAGCACCATCTAAGAATTAGTGTCTTGGACTAGTGGTAAACGTGCCGTTAATATGGAGCGGACACCAGGGTTTGAAGCTCAGCATGTGTGGAGTGGGTAAATGTTTGATTCTCAATGCTAATAATAGGAATGATGAAAAAAGAAGCGCACCCGTCTTGGATTTTGCTTTCTCATTCTTTACTCTTTAGGCCATATTATTTTAAGGATAAGTTCAAAACACGTCAATATATTTGGACAAGAAGTGCTGCTGAAGCCAATTATTTGTTTGTCACCTTTTTAGTCCAGAATGTGCTGCTGTACTTGAGAAGTTGCCTACTGAGTTATTAGCATGCTATTTGTCATTGAGAAGCTCCACTTATGTGACCAGTAAGCAAGAGTTATTCTGTATTATATGTTTCTGAATTGTGCTTACTGCTAGTTTCCACTTTATACATTAGTTTTGTCTTTATATGTTGCAAGGATCTGACTGTGATAAGCTCTTGTTACTATCAGATTGTATGTTCATATCGTGGTTTGATGGATGATGTTCTTGATAAAGATGAGCTTTTTAGGTTTGTAGGGTTATTATATTATTTAATTAGGTTACTAACAACGGTCACAAATATATTTGTAGATGGGTCGTGTTGATGGATATCCTCCGCAGAATAATAGGAAAGAGTCAACCTTCGCTTGGACAGATGTATTGGAGAAAAACACCAATCCATCTTTGGCCTTGGGTAATGGAAAATTTGTTTGCTCTCACATCTTAAGTTTGCTTACAAAATTCTGATTGTTCTTTGTGGTGTGGTGACTACTACTTACCAGCATTTTTCGACATGGGCTAATTTTTTTTGTATAATTATTTTCCTCAATAAGTTGACTTGTCCCTACACTTTTACTGAGCATGTTACATGAGACATAGTCATCAATAAGTTGCATGCACGTTAAATATGTAATAACAAATGCCAGCAGCTCATTGCATAAGGTTTCTGCCATTGTGGGCTCTTGGGAGGGTCAAATATACGCAACCTTGCCCCTACATACAAAGTGGTTGGTTCCATGGTGTAAACTCATCATGTCAGAAAGCAACATTACTATTGCGCTAATGTGCAATAAATATGGATAAATAATAATATTGTTGGTGAGAAGCAATAAATAATGCCTGTATGAAAATCTTCTCGACAACATGCTATTGACATGAAACTCATGTTGTCTAAACAGGTTTCTTTCTTCCCCATCGAAAAATTGTTCTTCTTGCAGTGACCATATGAATCTTCTAATCTATTCCCTCTATACATTTTGGGGTGCCTAATGATGATTGCATTAACAAATATTGGAATGCACATGCATACTATGCCCTTGAAAACTATTTTAAAACTTGATGATTGTAAGTTTGAATATGGAACCGGAAGATGCACTGACAAATCACATGAACTGTGAGTCGTGCCTACAGAATAGAAGTTTTGCTAGAACTTTTACTGTTTTTTCCCCAAGCAAAAGCAAGAAAGTTGTTCATAACTTTTGGGCAATGTTTAATTGGCAATGCACAGCGGGAAAAGAGGCTAGCGGTGTGGTAGCATTCCCCTCACGGATGATTTCTTAGGCTTGTTCAGTTTAGCTGTTGATAGAAGGCTAGAGTTACATTAGCCAAAGGGGGTTTTCTGGGATGGAATCCCTAGATTTGTGCAGGCAATTTCCTTGACCCAGAAGTCTAGATTTGGCAGGCATTTTCGGTATTGCAAGCTGAAGTTGGTTGATGCTTTTCTTGATCTCTATACAGTGTTGATTTGTGGAGGTTGATGGGACTCGGTTATAGAGTATTATGCTGTAAATGGACTAGTTTACATGGGATATTTCTATGGAAAAAGAGCAATCATGAAGTCTTTTCCTTGGAAGGTACTTGGAGGAGTAGGGTTCCCTTGATGATGGTCTTTTCACAATGGACAAACAACTTTGGGGTGCCATTCTTATTATTGGCAATTGCAAGCAAAGAGGTAACTTTTCTTGCCTACTGGTATTGTACATGCAAAGAAGCAGAGGAGACAGTAAACCCTTACCTTTGCTCTGTAGGATGGAGGGAATTGTGGATTTCACTGTCCTCTTTGTATAATATAAGTATGGTTATTACCGGTGGAGACCTTATTATTCACAGGAGAGTTTGAAAGCCAGGGATGCTATTGTGTCTAGTGTTGTTTTATGGAAGAAGAGTTAGGGGTCTTCTGATGATTGATGGTGTGATGGTGTTGAGCTTCCAATTAAATGGCTTATGCAAATACTTTTGAACATTTTGTTGGTATAGAATTGCTAGCCCCGGGACAAAGTGACTCTTTTATAGAGTTTTGGGTGGTGCTATTTCTTTTTCATTAATTAGTCTTAAGTGCATCATTTGATACGCATGTGAACCATTCAGACAAAATGTTTAGATCCAGCATTTGGTACAGAGCATTAGTTGAGAGCATAATTTCATGAATTCAGAATTGCTGCCCCAATTGGTATTTATGGACCATTATGGAAGCTTTTTTATTCTCCTCAAGATCTTTGGCCACCTCAATGGGTGCAGCATGCCCAGCGTTTCAGTAAGTATGTGGAAAGGTGTCTTCAACATTCAATCTTTATTTTTGCCACTCCTGACAATTCTTATATGTGGCCATATTATCCTTGTTGGAGTGAAATGCCGCCATGCTATGACTAAATGAGAAACCTTTGAAGCCTTTGAATACACGCTCTGTTAGGCAAGTTAAAACGTGTATGTCAACACAGATGCATGATAACTGAACCATTTTGAATTTTTATCTCTTTTAGAATTCTTTATTTTGGGGCGTCGACATCCTATATCCATACCCATTATCAGACTTCCAAAGAAGGAACAATAGGGCCTGCAAAAGGTGGATGGACGGAATATTAGAATATTTGGACCTGTGTGTGTGGTTATGTTGGAAATCAAAGTGACTTTATAATAGTGGTATGAGACAGTTTACCACACCCACTATTCAAGGCTACACTTAGTTTGTCTTTAGGTATGGAGATTATTGATGACCTGCATATTGCAATCAACACTTGTTGGAATTTTCATCGTTCTAGAACCCACTTTTTTGTAGCCATGCCATCTATTGAGGTCTAAATATCTGTATGGCAGGGGCTACAACTCTAGAAGGAATGACATGGATAGCCTAGTTGCACAAGAATCTAATTATTTTTTTTTTGCGAGTGCCCACTTGTACTTGCCATATAAGAACATCCATTACTTTGTACTCGAGTTCCTAACGATCTAGTGATAATTACTAAACAAGCAAATTGGTTTGTTGTTGCCATGGTTGATACTGGAAAAGTTGCATTGACGACATTTCTTTTAATTTATTGTTAAAAGAGGCTTCACCCTTCTGTCTTGAGTTTCAGCTTATCTGAGCTTGTAGCTCCTATTGTTCCTACTGTTTATTCGACCTGGGTGCAGAAAAATTTTATGTGAACCACCACAGGGCATGGTTATAATATGTTGTTAGGAAGGCTGTACAGAGTGAGATTTTCTTGTTTTTTGTACTGATGTTGCTGCCTGCTTGATCTGTCAAGATTATTTTAATGGTTGTGTATGTAATTGCTTTGCAACTTGATGTTTATTTTTCAGAGGATGCAATTACTTTGGATTATTTGAGTAATAGTCTTAATTTTAGCAGAAAATTCAGTAACTAAAGGTGGAACAAGTGAGTCCCCCAACCAACAGGAAGGTACTGCAAGTGGGGAGATTGCTTCAAGTGAATGGAAATATAGAGAGTATATTTGTGGTGAGGAAGCACTAAAAATATCCCCCACTGAGCCATATTGCTTAAGCCGTCCCATCCGCAGAGGTCATCTCAATATTTCTCAACATTATCCTATGCAGCAGGTACTATCTTTTTCGCCATTGATTAGGTCCCCATGCATGAGAAGGAGATTGCCTGCAATGATGCAAGCACTATTTTATCAAAATGGGGAAAAAATCATATTATCAGGTGCTGCAAGTTAGCCATACAAGTCATCAAATATTTTATTCCTGCTGAATTCATTTTCACCATTTTGTAGGAATTATGCAAAATTTTTTATTATGTCAGGATTATTCATGAAATTGAAAAGACTAGATTATTTATGAAATTGAAGAGACAAACTCAATATACATATTTGGGTTAGAGCAAATGGTTTGCAGGAATTTTGTGGAAAATTTATAGGACACACCGTGTTTTAGATTTACTAAGAAGCCAACGTCTTAATGTGCACTTTGCTCATTTTTCAGGTCTTTGAAGACCTGCATGCTATTTGGGACTGGATTTTGATTGATAAACTGCATATACCTCACAGTGAAAGAAATATGTATTCTGCTATTCTTGTTGTGCCAGAAACATTTGATAATCGTGGTAAGTAGATGCTATAGTGCTCATTTTTCACTTCCTGGCGTTGATTTAGGACAATCATTTTTAACCTCACTGGAGTTGATTCATGACAAATGACCTGCTTGGCTGGAAACATCATCTGTATTTTCACTATGGCTTGCCTTCCTGGCCAACTGGCATCGATACACATTCTATAATAACTAATTCCTCAATGGCTGCGGAGTTGAAGGATATAATGTATGCATTGTCAGTTTTGATTATGAAATATTCTGGAACCTTAGAATTCTGATTCTGAAACACTGGAATTGCGATTCCAAAACATGTAAATTTCTTTGAATAATTAATTTGTTTTAGTTTTTGCTGAATCCAAAATGTTTCCGTTGTTTCGTCTGAGACGAAACAATTTATCATTGTTACTATCTTTACCTTAAAATCAGTGACCTACCACAGGCTAGACCATTAAAAGACTTGATCATGCCTCAACTTTGATCATCTTTGCATTGCACAGATGAAGAATGTGGAGGGTTGTTCAAACGAAATGAGACTAGGAGTTTGGGAATTAGAAGCATTCATGTATTTGATTTATTTGCTCTCCATATTTTTGCCTTGCTTTCAGGGAACTTATGCTCAGGCTTCTCTTTCTCTATTATCCATCTTTGCTGATAGTGTTTTGTCTACAGAATTGTTTTTGTGGATATATATAAAATTGAGGTGTAGCTCTTTACTACAGTGACACAACTCAAAACTTGGTTTCTTGTTATGAGCAGAAATAAAGGAAATGCTGTCTATTGTATTACGGGATTTGCGCTTTAGCTCAGCTGTAGTACACCAGGTGGCTATTCCCCTTTTCTAAAATGATTGTATTTCTTGATGTGGAAATGTTCAACTTTTTATCCAGAGGATAGTATACATGCAACTAACACTAATGATTTGCAAGTAAAAATGAGTCAAAAATCGAGAAATTATTGATCCCAGTCTTCTGTGGAGAAAGATCAGGTGAAAATTGTTACCGTTAAACATCAGAATTTTAATGCTGAAGCACTGTCAACAACACCAAAGCATTAGAAAATTTCTATAATTTGGAAAAATTAGAACTTATTAATTGCTGCGCGAAGCAAAGACAGGCACAGCAAGTAGTCCACCATTCCTCCAGGGAGGATGTTATCAGTATTCTTGGGTTAATTGCACCAAAGATTTGCAATTAAATATAGAATTCTTCAAAATTTTTAAAATAACTTATCCAAATTTTCTTCTACAGGAAGACTAGGTAAAAATTTATCTTTATTGTCGACTAGATAAAATTTTACAATCTGGAAACTCAATTTAGTATATTGATAAATGCCATGCCCCTTAGCACAGGGGTTGTCATCTCTCTGGGGTGAGGATGACTTGAATTTTTCAGGGTAATGGCAGGTAAAGTAACTGGTGATGCAGATTTTAGGTAAGATTAGGTTTTTATAGTTCTGCCTGCTCCACACAAATTGTGCAGATTACAACAGCATTTAACATAGCAGTAGTGACATTAAGGGAGACTTGCAATTTTAAGGAGATGAGGCCTCTGGTCGTTTTCTCCCATGTCATTCCGAAGAAGTGTGGTCCAGAAGAACCAAGAGTCTGCTCAGCAGAGAAAATAATTTTATATCAGAGAGAAAAACGGATAAAGCAATAATAGATAAGATGCAGGGATAAATCTACATAATAAACAGAAACAAGAAAAACAAGGCAGAAAATCTCAATGAAGATAAAATTCTTGTCAATCCTTTGTCATGTCGTACAAGAAATGGAAACTGGAGAGGAGAACTGTAGGCCAAAATTCCATAACAAACGATTTGTAAGAATACAATTTTGGTTGTAGTAAAGTAGCCAGGAGAATACTTTCTATTAAAGTTCCTTATTTTTACAATGGAAATTTCAATTCCTTAATTTAAAAAGTTGTTCAGATTATTTGTTTCTGTGAGCAGTGAAGCACATGTGAAACAGTGAAGACTTTTGATTATGTAGTCAATTTTCTTCTATAACTATAATTTTACCCCTCTTTAACTCGACTAGAAAAGCCTCCATTCTCTAGGTTATCCCCCATCCTATTTTTATTGCACCCATTTTTCCGTTGCTGGCTAGATAATGCAACTAGGGGTGTCCATGGACCGGGTTACCCATGGGTCCCGTTACCTGGGCTGAAAAAATAGGCCCGAAGCCTGATAGTTGGCCCACCCGACCCGAGCCCAATATCCTTAAAAAGAGGGTTTGGGTTTGCCTCCAAACCCATTACCCGGCCCAAGAGCCCGTCCGTCAAGCCCGCCTGTAAGCCCAGCCCAACCTACCCTTCTTTTGAAAAAAAGTTATACTTTTAGACCATTAAATTTGAAATTTCGAAATAAGTCTCTCAATATCGAAATTTGAAATTTTAAAAATTTAGATATTATAAATAATATATTATTTTTTTTTATGTATTAAGTATATAAGTTTTAAATGGTAGAGTAATACAAATGACAAATAAGTTAGTAGGTGTCCACCTAGTTGGGATTTATTCAATCTATTAGATGTAGTTCATTCTTTTATTTTTATCCATTTTGACTTTACTTTTGATTTAAAAATATAATTTACACAAATATTAAGTTACAAAAATATTCATTATTTTTAAATAAAGATGTATATAAAAAATCCTGCAAATAGGCCCGCCCATAGACCCGTCCAATAGGCTCACGGGTTGGGCTGTGGGTAGCCTACCCCTACCCGAAGCCCGCCCCTGCCCGGCCCGCACCGAACCGATAACTCACTTGGGTAAGGGCTTGGGCTTATACTACCCAGGCCCGCCATGGACACCCCTAAATGCAACCTTTTTCACTTCTTTTTTTTTTCTCTCTGTTTTGTTCCATCATTTATAATTTGTAGAACCAAAGGCACTTATATTGGTATATTCCGCTAACTTGTCTCCTGCACATCTGATACACTCCCCCACTCTGCGACCAAAACTGAAAGGTTAGAATGTGAGGGAGGCTTGAGGTTGGGGGTGGGGGTGGGGGAAGGAAGGATGAAAGGACCTGTTTCTTTATTCTAATCTCTCTTTCTCTCTGCATAGTATTCTGTCTCAAGTATCTTCAAATAACATGAAAAAAGGTTCGCTGATGATTTTTGAAAGAGTGATTTCCTAACTGCTACAGTGCCTGTATATTTTGGCTACCCTTGATTGTGAGCTTAGTGCTTCCTGCCTTGCTCTCCTTAAAGTAATCGTCGAACTAACATCACTACTCCTAGCTCCTAGGATGAAGGGCAGTGTTCTTTGTTTCTTAGTCTTACAGCTTAATGTTTTTAGTTTAACTGGTGATTATTTGATTGTCTATATGAAAATGATGTTTGTACCATAGGATAAGAAATGAGAAATTATCTTGAAGAAATCATCATGTATAAAATCAGAACGATTTATCAAACAAACTTGCAGAGCAATCAGGCTGGGAAAGGTAGGGGAGGCCTTCATTCTGTTTACTGCTGGGTTTTCTATAAACTACCTGTTGAACCTCTCCCCTATGCCTTAATATAAAATCTCCTTCATCAACCTGTATATCTAGCTTTGTGTTCTATTACTTTACTTTTTGTTTGCTCAACGTGGAATTGCTTTCAGAAATTTTCTTATGATATCTTTTTCTTTTGTTACCTTGTGGATTATCTGTTATCTTGCTATAGAACCATTTGAATTCCTCCTCTAGTACGAAATGTTTATGTCATAACTTGTTGATCCAGGAAGGTCTTGCTGCTGTTTTTGGAAATGGATTATCAACAGCTTGCGTTGTGAATATGGGTGCTCAGGTGACTTCAGTTATATGCATTGAGGTAATATTTATGTTCTGCCTATTTCTTATCAACAATTCTGACCTTGCTGTATGGGCATTTTAGCATATCATACTGGCGCTGACACAAATGCCTGATGCATTGATTGGATATTATCCTTGGTGTAGTTTTTTTTTTTTTGATGAAGCAAAAATGATAAACAATCAAGGTCCTGCTTAATGTTGAACTTAAAAGTACTCATTTGTGAATTAGAGGAAGACGATCTTCGTGGAAATCAAAATAGGGTTCAACATTTTTCTAACCACAATATTTACCTTATCCAACATAACTACCATTTTTTTGATAGGAAACATAACTGAACTGAATTAGTAAAAATACCATGGGCAACCAAACTGCCAGTTTGCTACCACTATACCTCATTGACATGATTGCTGCCATCATCAATGTTATCAAAGGTATTAAAACATAACCAAAAGCAACACAACGACCTCAATATCACCAAAACTACCACTAGCTCCCATCTAACTTCACCGCTATCATTGGCATAGTTTGGAGCATTAGCAGTTTATCACACCCCTGTGATTGCTGTTTCCTCTAATTCTTGGTTGCCATCACTACTCCATCATTGCCATTACCTCCACCAGTTGCTTCACTAGGGCCATTACCACCTTCCTGATACCGCAATCACGAGTGGAGTGCGACCAGTCGTTTACACATCCATCTCTGCTGCTATGCTTCACTGTCATCACAGGCACCACACCTCGTGTGCTTATCTGTTTGATGTGTAATTTCTGTTGCTTAACATTTGTTTACTTCTGGCATGTAGTGAAGAGCAAAAGAAAAATAGAACTTTGTTCTTGATTTTTGAGAGATCTTTTATATCAAGTTAAATGTTTGCCAAATAGTAGAAAACTAAGACTCAAAATTTAGCTTGATCATCTCTTATGTGGATAAATTCTTTGTTTGTGTTCAGGATGGAGTGGCTCTACCTACTACACAGATTTCTCTACGTTTTGGTGGAGAGGTTTGGATTCTGGTTTCATATTTCAACTATTTCTATAATTTACGACTGAGGAAAACACTAGATATTTACAGTCTGCATTTACATGCTTAATACTTGAATTTGGTTGTATTTACGGGGTAAAATAAGTACTTATCTTCTGTTGTCGTGCATCTATGCTTGTTATCAAGTCTTTTAGTTGAGCCCTGCATTAACACAAACTAGACTAAAGTTAAAAGTTATATTGAAGCTAGTTTAGCTTGAGAACTTTTATGTTGCTGTGTTGCTTCCATTAGGAAAATACTTGTCTTTTATTCATGTCGGTGGTTCAAAAGTATAGAATCTTGTATTTTCCTTATTTGTTTACACAATCATTCTTGTAGTTTTAATCATGTTGCTTGCATTTTTACTCTTGATGACATGCATTTGCCTATCAGCTTGAGTCGGCTACATAAATGTTGTTTTTCTCTGTTTTTGGGATCAACTGGGTCATATGCCTTGCATAAGCAGCATGTTTGGGGTAGCCGGAAGCACCAGGGCCAGAGGGAAATTCAGAGACGTATGGCAAGCAGCACAATGGTGCTGCTTGTGGTTTACACCAAAAAAAAAATATACTCATTCATCCAAAGTGGTGGAGGTGCCCACGAGGTTAAAGCATACTCTAGTGAGCTAATGTGTACATGGCTTATTGGGAGGTTCAATTCTGTCTGATATTCATTTATTGACATTCTGAGAGAGATGGAAGTTCTAAAATTCTTGTTGTTTTGTGTAAAGTCCCTCTGTACGAGTTGTGTCCACGTTAGAATCCTTGGAGAGCTATGGAAGTAAATTTGAAAAGTTTTGTGATTTTGTGTAAAATACTTGTGTACAGTTGTTGTCCTCTTTGGAACCTTCAATTTAGTTTATCTATTGTAAAAAGTAACAAAGTTGCATAGCAGTGTTTCATAGTTCTAATTTTTAGGCCCAATGTATGCCGCCAACTTCAGCTTTATTTCAACTCATGTCTTTTTTTGAGCATATCCTCTTTATTTCCTCCAACCTGAATTACAAGGATGGTGTTGAGGACATGAAATGGAGGGAATGAAGATCCATTGGTAAAGATCTTGTGAAGCTTTAAAATGCCCCTAGGTGCTCTCTTAAATAGAGTTGATAAGATTGAAGGGAAAAATTTTCTTGTTCTTCCTCCATTTCTGACCAAAGCCAATTATCTCTGGCACATGGTGCTGAGAAGCTCAAGTGAACATCTTGTTTTTAATCTCTGTGACCTCAATTTGCCTCCTGATTTTTGTTCTTACTTTTGATTTCATATAAGAAGAAAAAAGATCATGTCTATGGTTTGCCTACTGCATACAAACTGTCCTTGGAGGTGCAAAATTATCAAAGTAAAATATTGCATTCGATGATATTTGTGCTTTCCCATTAACTCTTGTAGCAATTTCATTGATCATTTAGTAACTTGCAATGGTGCCATATGAATGCATAAAATGATAGAGAATCTATAGCCTGTTATTTTATATCCAACCATAAAAAGACTGATATCATGCAGTTTTAGATCACATGTTGGTGTAATGGCCTCAAGTGTCACCTCCTGAATGGACTTAAGCATCTATTCCCATTTTGTTTCTACTCCTTTGATGTTTTCAGTTGTTCATGCATGTAGGCTGTATGTTACTAAATGAGTTTCTTGGGAACTATGCAAGTATAAAGTGTATCACTGCAGGATATATCAAGATGCCTGCTCTGGACTCAGAGACACCATCAAACATGGCCACCAATTCGAACAGATGCTTTGGCAAAGCCCGTAGACTTGTTGATGCTGAACCGACTAAAAGAGTCCTACTGTCAGATTAAAGTGAGTTCACTTGATATCTTTTGTTTATGCTTGGTCATAGTCACTAACATCATTTCTTAACTAATAGGCACATTTTTCCTATGTTTGACTTTTTATCTGAACCCAACCAGCTCCTTTTTTATCTCAATCTTGGATATGTTTAGTCTCTAACATGTTGGTAGGATTCACAGTTACCATATATTCTGTTTTTTGAGTAGAAAGAATAGCTGATGGGTTGTGTAGAGTCAAAAACAGAAATTTGAAGAAATATAGCTGCTGCACCTATATATTGGTACGAAGGACGTCTTGCATGGTACTAGTTGTATCGGCCACTGTTTTTTCCCAATGGAGTTTTCTCCATACAAGTAAACACGTTTGGAAAAATGTGCTCACCTGCTATCCTTGAAAGAAGTACAATCACCTCTAATTGTGGGAGTTATCTCTTCTTCTTTCTCTCATCTTTACTTTTATACTTCAAAAGGTAGAAGAAGTTGTGCTTAATTTCTTCTACAACTTCTAAAGTGAAATATAATTCCTCCCAAGAAAATATATGAGCTTTGCAGATATCTCTCCTTCTTGTCTATTGGTTTTGAGTTGGATGCTGTTCACAATGAACTAGACATAATGTATAATTTATAACCGATATGTATCTGTTTTCAATTTCACATTGGTAATTCTTTTCTTTCTCTTTACGTCTCCTAGTAATTATTTTACGTCAAATCAGATGGGATGAACAATCTCATTATTTTATGTAAGTTGATAAGCCTTCAATCTACATGACACAAATTCCACACTAAAGCTATATTTTGACTATGCTTCAACTTTATTAACTGTGGATAGCATTAAAAAATGAATTTAAGCTAACAAGAAATGGCCTACAACCCCTCAGAAGGATGTTGGATCTGTAGTCAAGGACAAATGTATACATCATTCTGATTATTGCATATATCCTAGGATATCAAGTCACTGTTATGCCTAGAAAGCTGTTTGAGGAAGCGAATTACGTCCTAATCATTCAATGGAGGCTACAAATTCTCTTTACACCCTCCATGATGGGGACCCGAGATCACATGTGGAGTTGACAAACAAACAGACAAACATGCATATTGAGAAATGCAAATGGGTTAGAGACTTGGTTCACTGTTATATCTGGATAGAGTGATCCGTACTGGTGGAATAATTACAATGCAACTATAGACTGTTGATAAAGGAAAGACAGTATACTAAAGAGACTCTCAAGCATATAAACCAACCTTGGGTGATCCTAATCATTTGATATGGGGACACAAGCTCTCTTTACAAAACAGAATAACAAATTAAGATTGGCTCTTCAACAAAAATGCTCTGTGATTTTTCCGAAAGCTAACAAATTAATGAAATTGGACTGTGCTGGATACATTTTTAACCATGACACGAAATATCAATTGTTGTTTATTGGTGCCTAATCAAATGCTTCTGGTAAGAAATGCTGCTTATGCCTTGGCTACTAAGGGAAGTCTTTTGACCTAAGAAAAAGTTGTCTTCAATGTTCTACACTGGCTGCTAATATTGTTTTTTGATGTCCAGGAAGAAGAAGTTGAAGCTGTTGCAGTAGTTCATTCCTATGAGGATGGCATGCTAACTGGATCTCATAAAACAAGGATGACAGCTCTAAATGTATGTGCTTTAATACAATAAGGCTGTGTTCGTGGGATATTAGTCTTGACGGTGTGTGAATATCTTACATGAATAACCCACTTCTAATGAATTGGAAATCACTTCTAGTCATGTGAGATGTATATTTACATCCTGGATATTTATATAGGGCTGTAAGCAGAAAATTTTGAATTGGAAGAATTTCTACATATTCTCCGCTGATAGCAGATATTAGCATTTTTTTAATGCTCAAATCTGAGTAAATGCTTCTTGCTATCTTCTTCAGGTTATGTCTACATGTAATGGATTTCAAATTATTTGTCTTTTTCTCTCTTGTGGTTTGCAATCTTTGATGTTGGTCGAACCTCATATTTTCACCTTTTAACTGGTGAAAGGTGCTATATGTACTCACAGGACTTGCCATAAATGTTTTCCATTGTCATCCTTGATAAGAGATATGAATGTGGAGAATAACACATTAAGCTGAATAATGCAGTCTCATTATGGCAGTTTAGCTTGTGTGCTTTCTGAAATATTTAGCATTTTTGAATAATTAAGTCTACTTGTGAGTAAATGTGAGTGATGTATTTTGTTATTTAGACCACCAACAATTGAGAATGAGCTGCTACTTACCGAATTAAATCTTGACCATTTGCACAATACATCAAGATGACTTCGAAATAGGAAAGGGAATAAAGTCACATTTGCCCTGTAAGTTTTTTTTTGGTTTGGGAGATTAATTTAACTTATTTATTAGAAATATTGTCGAATGATAAATCTGTAGGCACTTTTAAGTATTGATGTACAAGTTTTTATGAGCTTACATAGGTGGAAATGCAAACCTATCAAAATTAATTGCTAGATTTACGCTATATTAACGTCGACTATGGAGATTATACTTAATTAGATACATACCACAAAATTAATTGAAAAAACAGGAATGCAATTTGAGTTCTTGCATCAGGTAGTTCCATTTCTAACATTTCAGATTGAAACACACAGTAAATCTTTGTTGGATCTTGTCACAATGCAGAAAAATATTTATTATGAAACCTGCCAAAGAATGTTAGCGTTCTGGAATTTCACAATTTTTATTCCTCTGGTGCCATATCATATAGAAAGCTGAAATTTGAAATTACTGCTCAAGTTAGTATTGTGGATACTCTTCATTAAGGATGGTTCCCTCCAGCCCAAGTTGCACGTGCATATTAAAACAAGATGAATTAGAGGAAGAATATAAGAGAGAGAAGTCCCAGATACAGAGGGAAACAGGATACTATCTGATATCTTTGCCCAGGAGAACAGTAAGGACGGGGTTTATATGCCTTTGTCAAGGGTTCTTGTGAGGGAAACTCCATTTCCAACTTAGTAGCAGAAGCAATTAGCTCTTAGTAGGCAAGTTGAATGTATTTGTATTATATTTGGAAAGAAGTCGAAGACGATGATGTGAAATCAGTTGGCAAGAGTGGATTTCTGATTAGTAAGGATGAGGGCTCATATGCCTTTGTCAAGGGTCCTTGTGCGGGAACTCCTTCTCCAACTTAGTAGCAGAAGCAATTCTCTTCCATAGAAAGTAGAAAATAAGGTATGAGCCTTTACAGATGACTGATAAATGTTGGAGAGATTCCTGTTCTGAGGAGGAGATAACAAGGATTCGCTTACAAAAATACTTTCCATATTATGAAAGGGAATATATCTATTTGAAGGAAGGTACGAAAACAACGGATTTTTCCTTGTGAGGGAAACTCCATCTCCAACTTAGTAGTAGAAGCAATTTTGTTTTGTAGAGAAGTAGAAAGAAGCTGAATTATACATTGGAAAGAAGTTGAAGACAATGATGTGAAATCGGTTAAACAAGAATGGCATTCTGGATAGTGAGAATTGGTGCTCATGTTGCCTTTGTGAAGGGTCCTTGACAGAAAATCCATCTCTAACAAGCATCAGAAGAAATTTGCGTCCGTAGAAAAGTAGAAAGCAGTTGAATTATACCTTGGGAAGAAGTCAACACGAGGATGTGAAATCAATAAGCAAGAATGGTGCTTAGAATACATCATTCCAAACTAGCATCTGACACTGTCAGATATAATTATGGTCTAGGGAACTCTGTTTCTTGCCCTCCATTATTTTTCATTTTCTGGTTGCACTGCCTCTCTTTTTAGTGTTTTTCTGCACAAGAGTGAAAGAATGATCTATCATTTGCTAGGATTAGATTTCTGTCATATCATGAAGCCATTATTATAACTTCTTTTCCTGCTCTGCCACAAATAATAAGATAGTTTATTCTGCAATTGATTCCTGATAGTTTCTTAAAGTAGGTTCCCCCTATGGGTCTGTTTTACCCAATGCTTTTGGTTCCAGATGTGTATCCTCCACCTCCCCGTTCTTGGTAAGTAATGTTCTTTGGGTTTTATGGATTTTTGTCCTTAAAGTACTCGTACTCAATAATTTCTTTCCCGAAAATAACAATTATGCGTCACTAGGTTTAATGATTACGAGGACATGCTGGAAGATACATGGCATATGGACTTTCCTAGAAGAACTGACATATCAGATGGCTTTTTTCCTGGCGTTGGCGGTGGATTACCGATCTGGGAGAGCTACCCAGTTTTTCAAACAAAACCAAAGAAAGAAGATAACATTGGCCTGGCAGAAGCTATCACGAAAAGCATTCTTTCAACTGGTAGATTTTTATCCAACTGGCTCTAATGTGGTTAAACTTAATAGTGCCCTGGTCAAACTCTTTGGTGTTTCATTGACAGGGCGTATAGACCTACAGAGAAAATTGTTTTGTAGCATTCAACTGGTGAGTGTTTGCAGCTCTGGTATTCATTGTTTAGAATTCTACTTGTAAATATACTAAATACAGCATGAAACAAATGCTATATTCTGTGCTTTAGATTGGTGGAGTGGCTTTTACTGGTGGTCTTATACCTGCAGTGGAGGAGAGGTTTGTTTAACTCTTTGTTGTCAACATTTTTTCAAAATAAGCTCTTTATTCTTCACATTAAAGAAAGTAATTAGGCATACCGTGCTATGCAATTCAATAACTGGGTTGAAGGGCATACTAAATTTTGGCATGGACAAATGGAAACATGCTTGAATAGATATTCATCTTCTCCAACAAGTGTTGGGATTCGATCTTCATCTCTTGGGATCTGATGCCGAAGAAGATTCATAGAGCATTACTCATCCTCTTATTCTCCATAAAATTTATCTTCAGTGTGCACACCAGCTCTTATTTTGAAGTTGATGCACTATTACATCGTGCTTGTACCAGCACTTGAAAGTGCTGTTGTTGGATGCTTTGCATTTTGAAGATAGTTCTATTTATCTAAGGCTGTTTGAAACTCTATGGAGATCTGAATATTGCACTGTGATTTTACACATCTCCATGATCACTAAGGCAAAATATATATGATCTATTAAAAGCAAGTGCTGAACATAGTTATATTTATATGAATGCTAAAAGGAATGCTAAAAAGAATGCAGTTAGGTCAGCCAATCTTACAAAGATTACAATGAGTCTCAGCCTATGAACTTCCAATAGTAGAGACTAAAATGCACTTATAAATTGCACGTCTGATAAACAGCTTCTTTATTTCAGAGTTTTGCATGCAATTCCCTCAAATGAAGCAATCGATACAGTTGAGGTTAGTTTTCACTTCTTATTCTCTTTGTGGTAAATAATGTCATTGCATTTTTTTTAAAAAAAAATTGTCAACAAATTATAATCAGCTTCAGTACGGAGGCTTACAATTGATCAGGGGCAAATGTTGCTTTATTAGTCATACTGGACTTCTCAACATCATGCTTTGCGTGTACTTGCTGTATTGAAAACATGACATCATATTTTTATTGAATTAAATCATGGATATAAGTTCGCTAGACAAGAAAAGTTTGTACAGTCCCTGCTTTGTGTTCCGTAGTAAGATGGTTCACTGCAATGTCACGTGGAAATTACATATATTGTTGCATTTTACGCATGTCACACCTAACATCAGTTAAGGTCATTCATGCTTGTCCTATTTTTTTGTTTTCATGATGTAGAATGGAAAATGTATGACACCCATGCTTTCCCTGGAACATGTGAACTATTAAATTTTGTTTTTATTTTCTTATATGTGAATCAAATTGAAACACTGTAGCAGAAAGCGAACAGTTAAATTTTGGCTTCCGAGGCACATATGTTAAAAAAATTTATGGAATTATATGCATTTTATTTGAAATTATTTTACGATTTCCTCTCCTCTCTTTTTTGATTCCCATAATTTGCCTTATTTTTCTCTAACTTGTCAAAACAAACCAGTTATACATTAATTTAAAAAATCCAGAAACATTTCTGAATTTTTCATGTTATGCAAACAAGCCTTTGAAGAGACAAAACTTTGTGATGCTTTTGTTTATTATCCCACTATTAATTCATCCTTACAAAGCGAGCACAAGTGCTCATCCACCCAAATGATATGCTGCTGCTACGACTCCTGGTATCTGCCTTTCCAAAATGGAGATAAAGTTGCCAACCATTTACTCTCCTAGACACCACTACGGGTAGCAGCCTTGTGCACCGGTTATAACTTTTGTTGTTGTGATTCAATTCTTACATTGTGTATCTACATTCATTCTGTGCCAGATCAATTAGTCCTAGCAGTCTGAAGAAAAAACGTTCTGGATCTGATGTGATTAGCTCCATTGGATGAACATATCGTGGTTTTGCTGCCTATTGTGATTCCATTTGTTGCTTATATTTGTTTTTGCATGTGATTGTTTTGGCCCTCCTTCATTGACTTGTGGCTGTCATATGTTAATAATATCTGACCTATATACATTGTATAGGTTTTGCAATCAAGGACACATCCAACCTTTGTGTCATGGAAAGGTGGAGCGGTAAGTTGAGCACCTCCTACCATCATATCAAGTTTTTTATGGCTCCCATTTGCCTACAATTAGTTTGTTCATTAGTGATGTTCAATGGAATGCCTGCATTCATAGGTTTCACAAGGTGCTTAGGCTTGCTTCTTCTTGAAAAGATTAAACGTTTTTTTTGGATGAGATGCAATTCAAAAAGCCTACTTAGTTTCCGAAGCCCTTGTGAACAAAGGAAATATGAGATGCACATTAACCTCTCGAATCTATGTTCACTCCTATATATGTTGCTCTTCAGTATGTTATGCTCTGGGAATTTTTCAGTCATGCTGAATGAATTGTTGTATTTGTGAACCAAAGGGAGCATCTTTTTCTTCTGATCCTCCATTGGTGTTGCTTATTGTATTTTCAAATTGTTTATCTCGGTGGGAATCCTTTCAATATATGCTACTGGTTTGTCCAATGTGATCCTCTTCAGACAAACTTGTAAAATACTAAATACTAATGCACCTAGACTTACTGCACTATTAGCGTCATTGTATGACCACTTCTTTTCTCCTTCCCCGAAGTTCTAGCGAGTTCTAATCTGTTGATCACGGGGAACTGCTACGTGAACCTACGCCAGTTTGTAGTTGGACACCAATATTACTGTCTTGAACATGTAGTAGTTTTGGATAGGGTAAATTTTGCTACTTTGATGTGTCTGCGGACCTTAAATATGATTGGGCAGTAATTTTATCATTAACTGCTTGAAAACTTGACTCCAAGTAGTAATATTTGGGTGCCGTTTGTTTGATTTGTTTTATCAGCTATTTGATTGCCTCACTATGAGCAACATGCCAGCTTCATTACTGGCTCATGCATCTTAGCGATGTGGTCATACACTAGGGTAAAATATGATTTCTCTGTTTCACTCTCCTTGAATCATGTGGTGCAGATACTTGGCATTCTTGATTTTGGTCGGGATGCCTGGATACATCGGGAGGACTGGATCTGTAGTGGCATTCACATCGGAAGTGGCAGGAAATACAAGGACTCTTATTATCTTCAGTCACAAGCAATGTGTTACATAAATTCCTAAAAGGTGACAACGTTTTTCAAAATACTTGCTAAAAGCTTACTTCCTTTCCGAAGCCCTGCCTTCAAAGTAAGACTGATATGCGTTTGTGCTCCAATAACATGAAGCATTTCACTAATTGGAAAGAGCACATAAGAGGTTTCTTCCTGAGTTAATTCCAAGAGAAACTCATTCCTTAAACAAATGGGGGTAGCCCCCCAAACCTGTGGTACTGCTTGCCAGCGCCAATCTGGACCTAAAACCAGAGCTAAAGAAAAGCAGGAGAAATGAAGGAAGCTCCATTACAAGAGATTGTAAGAGTCACTTCATTTCAAACCGTGGATCTTTGACTTTACTTTCCTCCTTTACAATCCCTCCGAGTGGTGGACTAGAATGTTCAGAATCATCTTCATAGGAGCAACCGTTAATTCACTCCTGTACTTATTCCTGAAAGAAGCGTTTATCAATTGGTCTTGGAAGGAGGTAGATTGGTTGGTTTTCGTGGTTGAAGCACAAATAGCTTGCTTCCATACATACTAGTGCACAGCACCATTCATTCTTAGATTTGAGGTCATTGTTGACTAATTTTTCCTTTTTTTTTTTTACACCATTTGCAGGTTAAGTGACTGGCAACAGATTGGAGGCCAGAAGAGCAAGTATTCTTCAAATGGGTAAGATTCAAAGGACTTGACTGCACCTTGTTTTGAGGCTTACAGCAAAAGGCAAATCCGAGGACCCTTTACTAATATCATAGGGGACACTTCCCGGAAGGAAGCCGTGCTCCCATCAAGCTTTCAAGTAGATAAAGAAGTTCAGGCCAGTGGCATCAACTATGGGCTATTGGCCTTTTTGAAAGCTTCTCCTTGTCTTTCCTTTCCCCCGCAGTGAGTGTACAGGATTTAGGGTTTTAGGAACACAAATTCTAACTTGAGGAGGATCTTGAGAATGTTTTGATAAAAAATATGATTAACATCCCGAGAATCGTGAAGCAAATGCAGATTAGGTTTCATCCCGACAATATTTTCATGTAAAAGTTGAGGGTGAGTCTTCTCCTTAATGGACTTAGAATGACTTGAGCACCGGAAGGAAATTTATTTGAGAGTAAGTTCATGTTTAAACTTATATGTAGTTACTTAAGTCCACTTATATTCTAAAACTCCAAATTATCCCTAATGGTATTAGTTTTGTCTAGTTATAGAAAATCACATATGTTAGATTATTGATGTATACATGGAAACTCTTGATTGAGTTATATATGAAAATCGTTTATTAAATATTATGAAAATTAACGAAAATTTTATATGAAAATTATATATTCTAATAGTTGTATATGAGAAGATTAATGTACGAATAAATTATTTTCTTAACAACAGTAATGCATAATATAGAGAAGGTGAATAATGTCAGTAGAGTTTAGTAATACGAATGTTAATATATAGTAACATTTATGTTACTATATGATTGAAGTTACAATTAGAGTCGTGTTATTAGTACATTCGTGTTACTATATTAACACTAATGTTTCTATATAAAAATTTAATATATAATTACAAAATTTGAGACGTATATTACGTAACATATATTATAATATTCATAGTAATATCAAAATTTTGTGTTTAGTAACACATCTAATTGTACAAAATATAAGACAATCTTTTAACAGTAACATTAACTTTCAAATAATTTTAGTGAAAATACGATCCACAAATTAAAAATTTGTAAAATGACAAGTAGTGATACATGATCAACAGTTGAATTACGATATTCAACACCAATTGTAAACATTAAGACATCGAAATTTTAAACTTCATTTTTCGTTTCACGTACAGTAACATGATCTTTTTTTTATAGTAACATAATTAAGGAATACTCGATTATCTTGCGCAACAAAAAAATCAACAAAATTGAAATCGATAACACTTTAATTTAATATTAATGTATGAGTTCTTTTGAATCTTTGTTACAAGGTTAATGCCCACTTTGAAAGAATTAAATCCCTAATTGTTATTATTTTTTTATTATGTTACTATTTTTTTGTGAGCATGTTACTATTTTTTTAGTAATCATGTTATTGTCTTTATTGAATCTATTACTATTGTTATTTTTTAAATATTAATATTTAATATTAATATTTTATCAACGAAGTCTAAAGTAAACTGGAATAGTAAATTGAAATTATATTTTATAGAATGTAATGTGTTTAAAATTTGAATATGAACAATTTTTGATAAATGTCAGTTTCTTATTGTTCGGATAAAAAAACATTGTAACATGGAAGATTGTAGCCAGATTTAAAGGCGATTATGAAGGAAATATATATGACTTGTTATTGTGTCCATAAACGTTATTTATAATATTCTTATAGGGAAGAGTTATAATAATAAAATTGACAAAAAATAGATTTAAAATCAAATAAATTTCTTTGACGGACTTATTTCTAAATAAGTCCATATAAGGGAACCGGTTTCCAACTTTCCTTATTTTCATTGCGTTTGGAAAGATTTCATGGCCCGTTACACCTAATTAAACTTATTTGACAAAAAGTACATAGCACAAAATATTTTTAAAAAAAATATACAGCTGAGTTACAAAGACATAAATACCAATTTTAGGGTCATTTAATTCAAAATTTCTTATTTTTAATGCACATTGATTCATGTGTATTTGTTAATACATATAAATACGTATTTAATGCATCTTGATTCATGTGTATTTGTTAATACATATAAATATGTATATATTTATAAATATAAGTGTGTATATATATATATATATATACTTGTACACTTGTTGTTAAATCTGTTATTTAAATTTTGAATTATTTTTAATGCACTTTAATTCATGCGTATTTTTTTTTGGAAAGTGATTTTGTTTTCAAATTATATTTAATGCACCTTAATTCAAAGCGTTTTTTTTTGGAAAATATTTTTATTTTCAAATTAATTTAATATCCGAATAATGTAATAAATATATATATTAAAGTTCTCCCATAAAATTAGGAGATGTTTAATGCACTACTTCCCAAAGAAAAGTGGTGCATTAAATACACATGGATTAATAGAGGACAAAAATATTACAAAAAAATTAATAAAATTATAATAATGTACTTAGATACAAATAAATATCAAAATTAAGGACTTAATTACCAAATATTTTTTTTCTATGTACTTTTTTACAATTAAGTCTAATTGGGTGTACCTCCTTCCAATTTTCCCTTCAAAATATTTGATGAAATAGACGGGTTGGTTTGATGGGTCTCATTAGGACCGGCCGACGGACAAACTGGCCCAGTATTGCTTGTAATTCACAACTCCACATTGGATAAGAAACAAATTAATCGTGTCCTAATATATCATTAATAGGTTCTAAGATCCTTTTTCAAACTTGCTCCTATTTCGAAACATGAAATAGATAAATAAATACATTTTATTGCACTGATCGAAAGTGTTCGTAGCAACTAGGGGGCGGGGCGAAGACCTGAGTTATTAATAGAGATTTCATTATTTTGGATAAATATGATTGATATATTTTGTTTATTTTATCAAATTTTCACCTTATAAATATGATTGTGTTGCATATAATCTATTACCAAACGGTTAGATAATAATAGGGTAAATTACACTGAAGTCCTTGACATTTTATTTTATTACACGGACACCCTCTCACATTTTAAAAATAACACCGAACTCCCTTGACATTTAATACTTGAAACAACCATACCCCCTCTAACTAACAGACATTAGAATTATTCACAGTCAAAATTGATGTCATTAACAATGGTTCCTAGAATACCAAAAATACCCTCTACAATTAAGTTTAAGAATTCAAATAAATATTTTTCTTACCCTATAAATTTACTCAACCTCTCATTTATTTTTTTTAATCTATATATTTCATATATAAATTAAAATTTAAAATTTAACATTGAAATGTTTAAGTTCCTATTCTATTACATTGATAAGTTAATTTTTAAAATATTTTTGTTTATTAAATAATATTTGAGATTATTAGTATAGTATAAAATTTTAAAATCTTAATAATTACTTATCCAATTATAACATATTAATTTTATTTTTATTTATTATTTTATCTAATTACATAAATTCTTACTCCTACCACCTATCACCACTAGTCCACCATCTAAACTTACCAAAACTTCCAAACCTAGTTAGTCCCACCAGCAGCAACAACACATAGATAGAGAGAGAAGAGACTAAAACCACAACCCATTGAAACCCCCCTCTGCATCCACCACCACAGAAACCACCACTTGGACCAAACCATCATCAACCAACACCATTACATCGCAGAGGTTAGGGTTTTAAAATCCACCTACAACCACCAGGATCTGTTGATGGGTGGCGATAGTGTTGATAGATTTATGTTTTTTCGGCGATGATGGGTGTTGGTGAAAATAGGCGGTTCTAGTTGCGCCGTTGGGTGTTGGTGTCGGTTGTTAGGGGGGTCTGATATGTCTTGAGAAAGAGAGAGGGACAGTCATTGAGAGCTTTGATTCGTTGTGAGAAAGAGATTGTGGGGGTGGGGGAGAGGGAGGGGGAAGGGAAGAAGAGTATTGGGTCTTGAATCTTGGGTCTTGATGAGTAGTTAATGTGAGGGTAAAATAGTCTTTTTGTTTGTGTTGTTTACGGAGTTCATTTTGTGGGGTTTTAGTGTAATTTTAGAAATATGAGGGGGCATTTGTGTAATAAAACCAAATGTCAGTAATTTACCCATAATAATATTTTGATGTACTCTTTTGGTTTGCGGATGGATGTAGATACAATACGTCAAACGATACAGTGAATGCTTAGTATTAATTAGAGAAGCTTGGACTCTTGAACTGGATACAGTGAATGCTTTCCAATGCTCCCAGCTACCTAGTACTTCAAATTCTACTTTTAATGATTTCTTAGAATTTCTCACCTGCAGGTTGGAAGATGCTCAACGCGTATGTATGTTCCAAAGGAAACACTGGACCAGTTGGAGTAGAAGGTATTACCAGAGATGAGCAAGGCCTCTTGATGCTCGGATATTATGGAAGCCCGGAGGATACTACGGGCACTCGAGCTGAACTTTGGGCTATCCTCAAATGACTCAAACTCCTTCTACGGAAAGGGATTAGTCAAGTGGTGGTCGAGACTGATTCCCTTGAGGTTTCTAATCTTCTTATCTCTGATCAGTATATAGAGCTCTTATAGCAAAATGTAAGCATTTGATGGAGGCGTCTTGCATACTCTCAGTGTGCAGACCTTGGAGTCTAACAACATGAAGCTTTCATTGAGCTTGAAGATCCCCCACTAGAGCTGGGGAGTCTACTGAATGCAGATTTAGCGAGTACTTCGTATCCTAAGAAATCTATTTAGCTGTTGTTTTACCTTTCCAATGTACCAAAATATATATATATTAAGTAGCTGAGATCACTATTTTAGGAAAGAAAATAACTTACCCAGACAATTGATGATATCAGAAAATTGGCTAAAGTTGAGCTAGGGTCATCCAGGTCAGCCCAGGCAGACTGTGATAAGAAGCACTGGGTGCATAGGTTGGTAATCCCTCCCTAACAAATAAGTTCCTCGTGGACATGACAACAGCAACAGTTGATACATGTATAACTTGCAACAATCTAACATTCTAGTAGATGAGTCACAACCGTCTCAATTCCACCAATGTTAATTACGCAAAAACGGGTGCTCGTTACAAGAAAATGGCAAGGATCACGTAGGACAATAACGCAAAGTATTTAAAGATTATAAATAGAGATCAAATCCCTCGCATTGCAATTAAGAATTCATATATGCATTACTATTCGGTGTAACTTTCTCCCTTGATTTGGTGAAACACTATAAATCTTTTTAACTATTCTTCCTCCATTTCACACGGTCCAACCCCTAGGAGTCCAGAAGCTCCGACGGGACCTTCTAATGACCTACACACCTCTACATAACACCACTGAATTGTGCTGTGCACACGTCCACCATCAATAATGATACAAGAAATGTAGCAAATCATAGACGACAGTCATTGAAATGTAATGGGATATTAAGAGGAACTCCATCTCTTCCGCTATCTTCCACTGTCCTTATTATTATTATTATTAGGCCACAACACATCGTGCCCTAATTTTTCAAAAACACAAAAAAAAAAAACACTTGCTAGTATTTCAAAGCCGAGAAGGAAGTACCTCCTTATTAACCAATCCCAGAACGCCACATGTCTCAGGATGCAACGACTTCCTCAGCTCTCCGTACACCGCGCCATCCCACTTCCTCTTGGACAACTGTTCGCCCAGGCGCACCGCAGCCTCCACCGCCTCTTCTCCGTTATCGTGCGCCGAGTCCACTATCCCCATCTCCACCGCCTCCTCCGCCTTAATCTTTGCGGCCCTCAACACTAAGCCGCGCCGAGCTGAATCTGAGCCGATCTTGGACCTAATCAGAGCCGTGAAGTAATCGGGCAAAGTCATGCCTATATCCAGCTCGCTCATGTACATCACACCTCTATCGCGCCTCATGAGGACGTAGTCGTGGCTCATGGCTAGGATGAACCCAGCCGCCGCCGCGTGGCCAGTCACGGCGGCGATAGTGGGCATTGGGAGAGAGATGAGATCGGCAACAACCGGCTTGAACAGTTCCACCATGTGTTCAAGCCGAGCCATGGAATCCGAGCCGGCCTTTTGTGCCCACTTGAGGTCAAAACCGTTGGAGAAAAACTTGCCTTGAGCCGTGGTGATTAAAACTGAGCCAGGAACGGACTGTGACCCAGCTTCAGCCAGAGCCGAGCGGATCGAGGAAATAAGCGTTGGGTTTAACCGGTGTTCATCGTCGCCGGTCAGGGTTAGATAAAATATGTTGCCTCGTTTCTCTAACGTGCACATGGCGGTGGCGGTGGTGCAAACGGCGGAGATATAAAAAACTCTCACTTTTTGACTAGGATCAATTAACAACGTTATGGATTCTCAAGAAAAATATGATCTTTCTAATTTAGCTGATGCAAAAGGTGATGGATGATGGTGGTGGTTTTCAGNTAATGGGATATTAAGAGGAACTCCATCTCTTCCGCTATCTTCCACTGTCCTTATTATTATTATTATTAGGCCACAACACATCGTGCCCTAATTTTTCAAAAACACAAAAAAAAAAAACACTTGCTAGTATTTCAAAGCCGAGAAGGAAGTACCTCCTTATTAACCAATCCCAGAACGCCACATGTCTCAGGATGCAACGACTTCCTCAGCTCTCCGTACACCGCGCCATCCCACTTCCTCTTGGACAACTGTTCGCCCAGGCGCACCGCAGCCTCCACCGCCTCTTCTCCGTTATCGTGCGCCGAGTCCACTATCCCCATCTCCACCGCCTCCTCCGCCTTAATCTTTGCGGCCCTCAACACTAAGCCGCGCCGAGCTGAATCTGAGCCGATCTTGGACCTAATCAGAGCCGTGAAGTAATCGGGCAAAGTCATGCCTATATCCAGCTCGCTCATGTACATCACACCTCTATCGCGCCTCATGAGGACGTAGTCGTGGCTCATGGCTAGGATGAACCCAGCCGCCGCCGCGTGGCCAGTCACGGCGGCGATAGTGGGCATTGGGAGAGAGATGAGATCGGCAACAACCGGCTTGAACAGTTCCACCATGTGTTCAAGCCGAGCCATGGAATCCGAGCCGGCCTTTTGTGCCCACTTGAGGTCAAAACCGTTGGAGAAAAACTTGCCTTGAGCCGTGGTGATTAAAACTGAGCCAGGAACGGACTGTGACCCAGCTTCAGCCAGAGCCGAGCGGATCGAGGAAATAAGCGTTGGGTTTAACCGGTGTTCATCGTCGCCGGTCAGGGTTAGATAAAATATGTTGCCTCGTTTCTCTAACGTGCACATGGCGGTGGCGGTGGTGCAAACGGCGGAGATATAAAAAACTCTCACTTTTTGACTAGGATCAATTAACAACGTTATGGATTCTCAAGAAAAATATGATCTTTCTAATTTAGCTGATGCAAAAGGTGATGGATGATGGTGGTGGTTTTCAGAGGTGGAAGACAGATAAAGGGAGAGAGAGAGAGAGAGAGAGAGAGAGAGAGAGAGAGGGTTAAAGTGGGGCGATAGAATCATGCCAACTTGCAGGCAGCATGACAATTATCGTCTAGAAATAATAAAACAAGCGTTGAATACTATGTATCCGAAGTTTGGGAAATATTATCTATCTCAAATTATATTTTATTTTATTTTAAATAAAAAAGATTGTTGGATGAATGTGTCTCATTAATTTTTTTAAATAGGATCCACTAATCCAATAATTCTCTTTCATTTGAGATATAAATTTAGATCCAATAGTTTCCTTTCATTTGAGATACAAATTTAAATCGTAAATTTAGGTTACACAATATTGCTCTAAAATTTGATACGTGCATCGTGTGCCAAGGCAATTTATAATTATAATATAAAATAATTTATTTCATGGTCTCAAATAAATGTATATCACGATTTCAAATAGATTCATTTAACGGTCATTAATATTCATCTCAAAATTATTTATATTACACCGTATTTTCATAAGCATGTTATCTTTAGTAAGATGATAAACTAGGTTTATTGATTATTAAAAAAGGAACTTCAAAGTAGCTTAAGTGATAATAAGAATAAATAAATTTAGACGTTTTGAGTTTGAATTTTAATAATTTTTTGAAATTAGGTCATGAGAGAGATTTATTCTCTATGAATATCTTATTTTTGGCATGAATGATTTATCTTTGATGGGATTAAGAAAGAGATTAATCGAGATACGTGTAAACCACTTTAAATACCATTACTCGTTGAAAAAAAAAAGAATATCAAAAAAAAATTGGCAACCAAAAAATTTTTAAGATTTTTTGTACTATGTTTTAGGTTTATTTATAATTTTTTTGGGTTTTTGCAATCCATTTTAGAATTATAAGGACAGAATCAAATAATTTTAAGATCAATTACAACTAAAACTCTAAACATTTTAATATGATCCAAATAGGTATAAATTTTTTTATTATGGATCCTAATATTTTAAGATTAGTCTTAATTTTCTTTTTGTTGTAAATAAATTATTAAAACTTGTATTTTAATTTTCAAAATTTGTAATCTTCAATACTCAAGTCAAATCCTAAAGAATGGTGTTGAATTGTTGTTGTTCCGGCTCAATTCACTTCTATAATTCATTCAAATTAAAAAATAAATAGAATGTAATTAAATATTTTAATTTGTTATATAAATGAACCGAATCCGAGCAATTAGTAGTTCGACAATAATAGATTTACAATTTTAAATTAATCTAACTTTAAAATGGTACAAAACCTTTTTGAAAAGTTGCAAATTAATTTTGAAGTAGTTTCCGATCATACCCTCTTCTCCTGGTCTCTTCTTAAATATATGTCTAAAAAATTTAAACTTTTGGAGATTAATTTCTTGATTGCATATACATGTTTTTGTTGAGTAATTAATTATTTTAAAAATTTTAGATAGTAATTAGTTTAAATTGATAATAAGATTAAAAGATTTCTGCTAAGTAATTGAGTTTGATTTTTGATGGTAATGTTCTACACAACTGAGTAGGAACCTATTACCTACAGGTTTGAGAATCATTGAAATGTCCAGTCAGAATTCTTAGACTCGTGGTGTTTAGGTATCACAACTAGGGAACTGTAGACAGAAGATTTATAGTGGTGTATCAGTTCGAGAACTTGACTAATCCACTGTAATGGAGTTTTTTGCTCTTAAGAAGGGTTTTCGATTAATCAAGAGAGGAGTTTATATAGGTAATATTGTAGACAAATTGCTCATATTACATTGTGAGGGATTTGACACTTAATTATAGTGTTCAGATGTCTTGCGTGATTGTCTTACGTAATCCTTGCCACTTCCTCATAATCGACACTCTCTTTACATAATCAGCGTGAATAGTACTAAGGTGGTTACGATTCATTTATCAGAATGTTGGGTTGTTGCGAGTTATACACGGCCTTCAAAAAATATCAGCTATTGTTGCCATCGTGCGCACGAGGATCTTGTTGCTAGAGATCTCCAACCTGCGCATCCCTAGTTACTTATCATTAGCTGTGTGATCTAAAGCTTAGACACTCGAATTGATCAATGACCCGAGCTCAGCCTTAACCAATTTTCTGGTATCATAATTTTTAATTTGAATGCTCATAACTCATAAGCTTAAGTTGAGCTGAACCGAACTGACCTTGGTGAGAATTATGAGCTCTATAATTAAGCGTTATTTGAACTCGAGCTTAAATAATCATAACAAAATTCAATATACTCAAACTTAGATTTGGTAATTCTAGAGATGACTTGTGAAACCGATACGAGCTCAACATGAATTTAGCGGTTTTGGATGTAATCTTAACGGATTAACGGGTTAATTTGACGGACTTGTGAAATAAGCGAACTGATTTCATGTTTGACTCATAAACTCATTTCAATCCGTTACGAGTGAACATAAATTCATTAATGTCGACACGATTGCCGTAGCTGCTCGAGCTCAATGACTTTGGCTCGTTTTGATGCACTTACAACCTTATGATAAAACAAAAGAGAGCATCAATTACTTTGTTATATGGATAGGCGTCCACCGCAGGCCATAAGTTCTGTGGTCCAGCTTGAAGGATTTAACAAACAGAGAAATGGTCGGTTCAGTTCCAGTTTTCGACAATTGCCAAAAAAGGATAGTTTATGGTTACACCTGACAATGATATAGACATTTTTTTGGGTAAATTTTACTTTATCCTATAAAATTATTATATTTATTTTATTTTACACTCTTAATTATAAAATTTTTCATATTATATTTTAAAGTATTAATTTTATTTCATATCACTCAAATAGATAACGACTATTAATCTTTTGATGATAAATTTATATGTGAGTGATCTGTACTGTTTATTGCATATGTGCAAATAAAAAATTAAGAAAAATAATCATTCATGACTTTGTCTTTCCTAAACTTTATATTTTCTTTTTTTGACTGACCTGCTTTTAATTCCCGGCAACCATTTGGTTGCAAAAAAGATAAAATAAAATGGTTCTAGACACTTGATAAGAAGTTCTTTGGGAGTTTTCTCATTCATTTGACAGATTTTTAAATTTATCATTATCTATTAAAGTGATATGAAATAAAATTGATACTTTAAGGTGTAATGTAAAAAATTTTATAATTGAAAGTATAAAATAAAATAAAAGTAATAATTCAAGAAGATAAAATGTAATTTACTCCATTTATTGGTATTTCCAAGTAACAGGAATAATATCCGAGCAAGGTTATTGATATTTCAAAGTAACAGGAATAATATCCGAGCAAGGTTATGGTGACCAAATTATTGTCCAAATTTTGTATTCCAAATCAATGTAGGGGGTTGGATTAGTCGAGTCCACTACACCAAATATTTAATGTATGAGCTTTTGATACAACACTTGGAATATAAGATTTGTGCAACAATTTATATAGAACAACTTTATCCAATATCCAGTAGAATCTATATAATAAGCGCATTCTTAAGGAATTTTTCTCGATGGCTCATTTTTATCACATTATTTATTTTTATTATATACTTATTTAATTTTTGATTAATTTGTGACTTATAATTATTTATATGTGATAGTGTATATATGTTGGTAATTTTTTGAGGTCATATATTTTAATTTGTTTTTTCAATTTTTTCTTCTTAAAAAAATAGGTATAAATTAATTTTAAATTCTGTAATTAAAGGAAGGGAATAAATATTTGATATAGTATGATGAAATTTTTAGATGCTCGGATTTTAAGTTACTCCATGTTTTCAAGCAGAGGTTATTGCTAATAGATTAATAGAAAATCTAAATTTCGATGCTTTCACATTTTTTTATTTGTTTATTATCAAATTCGATTCTCAATCATTAATATTATTGGATTCTTTTTGGATTAATGGAACCTATATTAGTATATTAATTAGATTAGGGGCGTCAATCATGCTGGTTAAGTGAATTTATGTTGGGTTTAATTGGGTTTTTGTGAAAATTTATTTAACTCGTATACGATTCGTTTAATTAACAGGGGAAAATTCATAAATCGAACACGATTTGTTTATTAAACGATAAATCGCATATATTATTCTGACTACAACTAAAATTTAATAATTAATAATTTATTATTATTTTAATTTTATTTAAACGGGTAATAAACAAGTTGACATATTTTACCTGAATATAATTCATTTATTAAACGGATATAACAAGGTCACCTAGTCACCACCTACACTTGTTAAGAGCTCACTTAAACTCAGTTAACTATGTGTAAATTCATTGTGTTTCATATTTTGATTTGCCTAAATCAGGCAAAATGAATTCGACCACTTATGTCTTGAACTAAGAAAAACCAATTTCAAATAATTCAAAAAATCCCATCAAATTCAAATTTTGGGTTTGAATTTTTTTAATTATGAAAAATGTAAATTTATTTAATTGTATTATTAGTGAATGATTTCGTGTATTTAATGTTACGTTTATCAAATTAAAGGTGGTTAATTAGTATAGAGTAAATGGGTAGTTAAAAAAAGTAAAAAAAAAATTGTGATTGGAGGGTTTTTCATTAATAACTTAAAATTTTTAAAAAAATAGAAAAGTATTATGAAAGGCTTCGCAAAGGCTCTCCTTGAAAATTATTTGATATATATATATATATATAGATAAAGATAAATACGAGATTTGTAATATTATCATTCAATTCTTTATTTTAGAGAGTTATTCCCTAAAAAATTCACATCCAATAAACTCTTTATTTGGAAAAGATAAAATAGAAAGTCTAATTTAACTCCTTATATTTAGAGAGTCAATCTCACCCTCTATTCTATAATTAATGAGGAAAAAACAATGCATGAATATTATTTACTATAAAGATTATTTCTAATAAAATAGAGAGTGTTATTAGATTTGTTAAAAAAAATTCACTTTTTATTTTGTCTTTACATTAAAGATGTTTTTTATTTTTTAAAAAATATTCTTTAAAATAGAGAACAATATT